ACTTGAAGCGTCGTCGCCGGCAGCACCGATATTGAGCGATCCTGTTGAGCAGTTGCGAGCACCTCCAGCGAAGTCTTCGACTCTTTTTTGGACAGCTGCGCAGAAGACCAAGGCCGTGTTAAAAAGAGATGTTAACTAGACAGTGATGGAACTCATCTAAATATATCAAGGTGGTCACCGTACAGCCTTATCTAACATTTGGCACCATTACTCCTTGGCTTGTGCGTAGAGGACCAGTACTTTGAGGCGGCAAGCATATATGTACACCGAATGCGCATAAAATAAGAGCCCCTCTCGCGCAACATGACCTTTAGCTGTTTCTTCCTTTCCTGTATGAGAGACAGCAGCAACGAACTTCAAACTTCAAATAACCATCTTTATTTATATGGCGGAAATAAATATTTACTTGATAATCTGTCTTAGGCCTCCAGAAGAGGTGCTTCTGAATCATTAAAAGTGCATGTAATTCAAAGTTCCTCGTTATGAATACAAAATTCTTGTACAAATACAAACACTAAGGGAGACATGCACTTGGAATATTCATTTTATACAATTCATCTCTATATCTCTCTGCTCTCATTTAAATTGTCAATAACTGAAACATAAAAAACAAAACTCATATAGGTTCCACAGGTTAGCGATAATTTAATATATCTAGGTCTCGTCCAGCGCGAACCTCTCAGATTGTTTTGGGAAATGTGATATCACAGTTACAGCCTAACAGTAACAGGTTAGGGAATATGGCTGTACTTACTTCCATAATATCACAACTCCTTTCTAAAGCCTTCTTCTTGGCTTTAGATGAAGGATGGGTCTTCCACACGAATTCCAAGATGACGCACACGCTGGAAACAGCGAGTCCTCCAAGAAGAACGAGGAAGACGCCTCCAACATTGGATACACCCAGTGCATTGGCCTCCTCCGACGAGTCCTGTACATCGGACAGTGCAGACGCACCTCTTTCCTTTTCGCGTTGCTGAGAGCAGTGTCCCATCCACCATTTCTTCTTGAGACGCGCGATTACCCCTGTTTTTTGTAACCGGAGAATGGCTTCGGACAAGTGGGCCGTGTAAGGGGACCCTGAAATCAATTACAGACCAATTTTGCGTTAATACCTTGTCAGTGTGCCAGTGCACCGAATGCTATTGGAATATTTGTCAAGCGAGTACAGACAACCAGGCTAGATTGTAAGAGTGATGGAAAATGCAACAAAGCATGTGCACACTTTAATACTTTGTGTCCTACAAAATGGTACATATAATAGGCTTTTTGTAATAAACTGACACACGCCATAATATTTCACTGAAAGAAAGAACTGAATTCTCCGGTCTAACCACTATGCCCAAAAGTTATTCTGCAGTGGAACAAAACAGCACGCTTTTCCAGTGCTCACTGGAACCACCTGCAAACCGTTGTCTCTATATACAAGTTTGAAGTGCTGCGAAATGCCGTTGTAGAATCTTTACTATCTGCGTTAGCGGTGGTTTACCAAGAATAACTACAAGACAAAACAAAAAAATGTAAAAAAAACATGCTTGGTTGAAGTAGCTGATACCAAATTGTAGGTGACATTCAGTTAGACACGTATACGAAAGGTTATGTTAGTTATATTCTCTCCCGCTTACGTTCGAGCAATTTGTAGCAGTAATATCTACATAACCTGTGTGATCATGCACCACAATTTTCGGTGCTGTCTTGCAGTTTCTAAATGACAATTCGGCAATAAAAAGCAGCACCAAAGCGCGTAAGTCCTACACATTTGCGCGGTGTCTTGAATTTGTCGATTTTTTTTTCAATACTGCGATAGATCCATACTTTCCGACAACATTATGAAATGTAATGCTGGCTGACATACATTTTGCGTCTCTCACTGGGCTAAAAGAAGTGAATATTATGAATGTTATTGGTGAGTGCTTTCATTTAATAAACTCCGCGTTAATTATGATGTCATCTGTGCTGATACGTTCATGAGTCTATCAATTTATTTTCAATAATTCTATCTACACCATAGGGTAGCAATAAAACTACGCATATGTCTAGAATGTCTCACTAATAGCTGTTTTAACCTAAAATATAGGTCTCAGTAGAGCGCGCAGCATTTTTAATGACGGTACCTCAATGCCCCATGCCTGAAAGGTTACTTGCTTAATTCGTGTCTGTAACCTGAAGACCTTAACTTGTCAGTACACACCCTTACTCGCAGCTTGAGTATATTATAGTCACACGTAATGAACTATACAATGAAGAAAATAATTCGGATTGAGTGCACGTTAAAGAACACCAGATCGTCGAAATAGCCTGAGCCAATCAGTGCGGCGAGCCTCATAATCAAATTGCAGTTTCGGCACAGAAAAAAGGGATAATTATAAGCTGCTCTCGCCGTAATTTTTATTTTAGTCACAAGCATACGCATAGATTGACACTAGAAAATGCGGTTTATCCTGATAATTTGTGTCGCACACTTTCAAGAAGGAAAGTATGTTTCCAAGTTAAATTTCCGGAGCCCTTCACTACGGCGTTCCTCATAATCATATGGTGGTTTGGCAACCTTAAACCCCACATATCAATCAATCATGTTTTTAAGGTACTTCGAAAACTAAAGAGGCCTTTGTAAGAATTTCGTAGGTTGAATTCTACTGTAACGCTGCGTGCTGGCGATTGTCCTGCTGACTGTCTGCTTTTACTGATTCATGCACAGCGCAATGTGCACCATGCGCTGAATTGTCCAATATAGATTTTGTCGTTGTGATACATTGTAGCAGTTATCTTCTTGATTAAACATAGCCTTTCCTGGTTTGTATTTCCGTGCATAATCGGGGTAGCCTTGCCATGAAGTTTAATTGTAAAATCATATAGGTGAGTTCCATGCAGGAAAGGTTTAGATAAGTGCCCAATTTGAAGCCTTCTTATACACATATACTCAAATGTTTGTTGATCACCAAAGCACATCAATTCATTTGACCACAAACGAAAATCTTCACTCTGCCAACTCTAAGTCGGTATTTTTTTATTGCTATCGTCTATTTTTCCACACATTGTAAAACTCTTCAAATGAAAACAAAATTGAGTATATACAATTTACACGCCCGCAACACACAATCTTGCTGAAGAGCGCATCTTAGGCAGCAGATACATATAAAATGGACATTGAAATGTATAGATTCTCATCTAAAACTTACACAATGAGGCTCAACACTCCACTAAGTATTCCATTTATTTGTGTTCTTTTTCATAAAAATGTTGTCAAAACCTCTGCCGGCCTTGGAACACAACTGTGTAACATGTATTTTTATAGTTGACTTTCACCCACCGCGATCTTTGTAATCTAATGCTGTTCAACGACCATGGTAATCTGGAAATTTGCCTGATTCGAAAATCTCGCTCTCTTGTTTTTCTTATATTTACTCATCTTAGACTCATCTATTAAATAAATATAACCGCACTATAAAACTTCAACCTTCGTGCAGTCACTACAATTGTAAAAAAATGTCTGCATCGTAGCCGTTATCGAACAGGCGGCCCTCACAGAAGTTAGCACCGAGCATCCTCAATGGATTCGGAAGCACCGCCAACACGTGACGTAAGCAACTGGCGTGACCACTTTCTCATACGCTGTTAGCTTAGCCCACAAATGCATAAATACAGCAATACTTGCACACCGTGTCGCTAGGCAAACAAAATAAGAACCATGAAAAGCGTCAGAGAGAGAGAAAAGCGAGCTTTCTTTCCGAGGCCTGTTGTTCACTCGGGGCAGTGCGAATCCATATCCCTTGGAGTCGAGGAGGCCCCCAATCTGAGCCAGCTGGCAATCTCGGTCTGTGAGTACTCGATGGTTGCTGCCTCCATCAAGAATGCGTAGTCGCCTCTCCGGACGCGCTCCACGCCTTCGCCGGTCGATGACGCCAGGGAGTCCTCGCGGTTGTTCGACATCACCGTCCACATCCGTTCGTACGGCTCCAGTTTCGATTCCTGTGGTTGGCCATGAAAGGAACGACACGGTGTATTGCACAGTGGCTCCTACAATTGCTATTCATCGTACGCTGTACGAAGTGCTTTAATACAAATGGCTTATTATGTTCTAACAAGAGCCACATTTTTCATAGCGTAGCTCGTACCCTTCTATGCATACACTGTTCGCTCCAGCAAATGTAATCGGCGAGTGCTAGTGGCTGCACCTTCTGCAAGTTCTCTCATACCACTGAAGTGCTACCGGTTTTACGCACATGCTACAGCGCACTGCCTCATGCTAGATGATGTCGCGTGGTTGATCGTGAAGTACTAAGGTTTTGTTAATATCGACTAAAGCTAGTCTATGGTGTGGGTTATTATTGCCGTAATGTAGGCTGATTCTGGATAAATTACAACTAGCAATGGCTGAAGAATTCCTGATATCTAGTAGGAAGGTATTACATGTATTGTCTTCACTAATGGTCGAATAACGTAGGTTAAATAACGCTGGCCGCATAACATAGGTCATCGCAGTTACAAGGGCAACAGCTTTTTTATTCGCCAATAGTTATTCTTTCACACATACATACATAGCAATCATAGATGCTTCCGCCCTGTTTTTTTTTCGCCATTAAAAAAAACACCAAGCTTTCAACGAAGGCTTCGCAACGTCGTCATCTCTTTCTGTTACATAACGTTGAAACATATTGTGTGTGTGGCACATATATTCGCATTTATGAGATCTCAATTATATGCGCACGAGTGAAATACACAACTTTTGTAATTGTTGAAGTACGGGAACCACGCATTCCGAAACTGCTTGCGCCCAAACCATTCGCGCGATTGATATTAAGCAAATACGCTTGTGCAATGAGTGTATTTCATAATGACGACAGCAGTTATTTGTTTATGTGTGCTCCAAAGAAAGATATCCAAAATATTTAACCACTGATACTGCTGACGCATGGCGACTAGGTGTGAAAATGTTGTTGTGTAAAACCTTATTGGCACGGCAAAATTATAGGCATCATAGAGTTAGATTTTAACTGACCTTAAAACGTCTCCGTTGAGCCCGACGACATGCAGCCGTACTTAATCTTGGACTGCGCAGCCAGGTCATGAACGTTTTCTATGGGAAACTGGAGCTTCTCGTTGACCAAGAAAGCGGCCATGTTGGCCGTGTAGAAGGAAACCTGATAAGCGAGAACACCCACCAGCTGATCGCAATGAGTCTTGTGGACGCGGCCCTGCAAGCGATGTTAGGAATATAAGAAGACGGCAGGCATGACAATTCGTTATCTCAATACCATTAAACTTTCCTACGATACGAAAGATTTTGAAAAACGTGTGTCTCCTTTATGCGCAACGATTTGATGTGGTTAACAATAGTGCCACGAAAATACTCAACATTGGAATCCAATAAGGTTCACCAGTTCTTGCTCTAACAATTGCGGTTGTAGACTTCTATCGTCTGTCAATCACTCAAATCAATTTAAATTGCTGGTCTCGTCTATTTTTCCTACTCAGCATGCTATTGTGACCTCACAGCATAGCACAGCGTATACCTGGCGCACACCTTCACTTTGTGCATATCGCTAAAAAAACCATGACAGATCTAGTTAAAGTTTCTTTTTTTGTTTTTCATTAGATGTTTGCTACATTTTAAGTCATGCCATGCACATTGTAACGTTAACAACAATTTTACCATCTCGAACTACCTGGGCTGGTTTCACGCCTTGGAAACGGAGCACCACCGTTGCGTACCACGGCTCTCTCCACGCCCGAGTGCAGTTCTAGGACTGTCCGCACCCGATGAGCGATCGCACAGTCGCACTTCGGAGCGTGTATCCGGGGCAAAAATGTCATTCGGCGGGGGCCATGCGTGCTGCCAGGTGGAGCATTAACGCAGAAGAACCCAGGTACCGCTGCCAGTAGGCATAGCCAGACGTCGAGAGACAAGGGCAGCAGAAAGTAGAAGAGACGTGACTCCTGTATGGGTCGTCGATACAGAATTGCCGATGCCGGTATGCATGAAGGGCAGCGTGAAGTCCACCACGCGTGAGTGAGACACCGTGATGGTGAGGTCCCCGATGGCCAAGTCGGCTTCCTGCGTGCGCATCATTCTCCAGTAGGCTTCGCTAAGTGGGACCGATAGAATTAAGGAAAATCCGGGCACCTAGCACCGGTTATACGGCACGAAAAAACTACGCTCACCCACACACAAATCTTTTCTTTTTTATAATTCAAATATACTCGAACACACTTATAAAAATACCGGTTCCGGAAATGAGAAGCTATAGCGCCATCAACGGTGTACGTTAATTGATGGTGAGATAACCCGCTTCAGATCAATGCTCGTATGCCACAGTATCACTTATAACAATAAATTCTCTTTGTTGGTCGTTTTTGCAGTAAGGTGTTGAAACTCGAAATTATCGCAAAAAATTAAATCGATAAATTCAAGCTGCTGAAACGCCCTTCCACGACCCTCACATACCTAAGTGCCCCTTCATATTTGCACTGACCTTCGCTGCATGACGTTTTGGCTGCACGGCAAAGCGTATTTTGAAATCGGCTGGCGACTCAAGATGGTGCGGGAATGCCCCTTCTGACATGCCACTTAAGTGATGAGTTGAGACTCGGAAGATTTACAGCAACCCGAAATTTCAGACGTCGTCGTACATTGGCTATATGTGGCTTGTAGTTGACCCGTGAAATAGTCCGAATTTTCTAGCATGCCCGAAAAATTAGCAGCTTTTTCATCATTCTCGCTAGTGTCTGTTAGCAAATTTTGTCTAATAGTTTCTGACACCAGTCTCAATTGCTCTTATGTTGCTTTCTTCATGCAACACGGCTATACCAATGATCGGTTATAACGATGTAATTTTTGTGGCATGTGACGTTTCGTATAAGTGGGTTGGACTGTACTGCAACCTTTTATTGGGTGATCTAAAAGTTCGACAACAACATATTGATTACGGCAAATTTTAATGGCTCAAGGGCAACTGAAGCCAAAGAGCGTTCATTAGAGTATTATTAAGTGTTATGTATACTGGCCCACTGACACTAAAAGATGAGCGAAAAATTGTAAAGCGGCTTGCAGAAGAGCATGTACTGGGAAATTGTTGACAGAATAATATTATTTTCAATAAATAGTGTTTGTGTACCTTGTGTACTTGTGTAGTACGCTAGTGCAAGCGTAACCGGAAATAATCTTCATCTGCGTTAAAGAACATCAATTAGGAAATATGGTACGATAGTATTTGCCTGTCAGCTAAGCTTTTAAGTTTTGCAAGCTTTCCTAAAGAATAACACGCCTTTGCTCCTTGTCGTTCTCAATAACACCTGCCTTAGATTTGACATTTCGAAATCGAATAAGACTCCAGGAATACAGTAGCTATGCAAAAAGATATGACACAGTCTTCTCTATCAACGCTAAGAAGTGCGTGTGTAATGTACTCTGAAGGCAGCGTGAAGCCATTGCCAGCCATTGCGAAAATATACACACGTCTTTTGCAAAGGTACCCCTCTTACATTTTGAGTTTTGTTTCTGTACTCCTAATGGCTGGACAAGTAGAGTTGCTGCTCGCTAATGTGCCAGCTTGTTTGAATTGTTTGTAACGTTCAATGATTTTAAGACTATAATATAGACGGGCTTATGGTGAGAGTCCAGTTGTATGTCAAAAGAGCCGTAAAGTTTACACATAGTGATTGATGATGGCAATGAGAACACAACATTATGGAATACAGAGCTTATGGTGTCTATGCCGTAACTTGAATAAATTATGAAATTATTTAAATAAATTAGATCACATGAATAAGAAATTATTTATGCACAACAAAAAAGAATGCTCCACGGAAAGTTTCTCTGAGGTTAACATGTTGCGAAAAGGCCTTGTCTTCATGAGAGCCGAACATGCCTTCTTTCGCAGCTTGATAAAAACTTTGGATGGCAGTTACGTTACTGGCGTAGACAAATCATTTGTCCATAACAATGTCTCAAGGATCACTCTCTGCACAACGATGTTTATTGTGATGGAGATAGTGCCATATAAAAGCGGAAATCGACAGCTCAGCACACTTTTAACTACTGCTGCTGAAGCTAACACGCGGCCAAATATCTCAAAAGGCTACGCATGCCATCTACACCACACATAGAGTTTTATACAATGTTAACTAGAGAGCAATCTGGCGCTGCTATCATGTACCTTTATGAGAATTATGGTATGTACAGCCTTCGAATTGAATAGGGTTAGCTAGCGAACTGTCTATACCCGGCGACAACTTTCTGTGGCGGCACGGCCAAGGCTACGTGGGCGGAGCCTATGCACATGTGCTACTGCGCCAAGTAGTCCGACCACTTCGACGGGTGTTTCGGTTTCGATTTCACCAGCGCAGTCCGCGTTTCGCAGTCCACGTCGGCTCACGTTTGCTCGCGTTTCGCTGCAGGAAACGTGAGTCGCATCTTTGGGAACTCGAGAGCAATTTTTAATAATATTGTGACGTGATTTACTGACGCGTGGACCCAGGTTGCTGGCTGAATGATACATTCAATTATTTATGCAATGGTTACACGACTGATCATGCACGTACCGTTTTCGGTGACTTCAGGGTTCCACTGTTAACGTCGAGCTTAATCCGGAAGACACTGCGCTCGCTAACACCAGTGAGCTCGCTGACTTTCCGACATGCGGCTCTCACAGACAGCTGCGGGTCGCTTTTCCTTACTTGCGCGTAAACTTTGTACGCCACCTTCTTGGCCTGTACGGACAGCTTTGATTTGACAACGCCTGGTACGGCTGCGCAGCTGGTGGACTCGCGGCACGCGGCGGTGTTTCCTCCGTAAGCGACGTTGACGAGCTGTAACCGGCGGACGCCATCTTTGACAGTAGAAAATGCGGTGAGGTAAAAAGGCGACGGAAGCCAAAAAAACCCCAAAAAACCTGAGAGAGCGTGAAACGAAATTTTTGTTCTACTGCGCAACGTTTTTATTCACTAATTAAAAAATAAATCCGCGAAAAATGTAAGTGACGGATGGTAAAATCTTAATTACCCAGAACAGTATACAAACGTTTTAGTTGAGGGACTACATGCTGTGGCGCAGTAAGACAAGCGTGCTTCGGCTCCGTAGCCTTGGCTGTGCTGCCACAGAAAGTTGTCGCGGGGTATACAGACCTCTCTCTACAGTTTCAGTTTCGCTCTTCGCGTAGCGTGGGCAGTGGAGTGTGGTGAAAAAGGCTGAAGCAGTGCCTTTGTTGTTCGAAGAGGCTGATGACCACTAGATTTCCTAGTTTGCTGCGAAGTCGGAGCTTTACGAGTCGCATTTGTAAGTTTAAACGAAGCGTCATCCACTCACCGCTGCGCATAGATTTAGCGTCCTCATGCCTGTGCGAGATATTGCCTCAAGTTCACGTTTTTCACGAGCGCGTCTTGCCTAAACTTGTTTTAAATGGACTGCAAAACGATGGAAAAGATAAGTAGACGCAGCGTCACGCTCCGCCGACTCTACTTCACAACAAAACCATAGATGCGTTGGAGGCAGACCACTGGGACAGACGCACCTAAAGTCGCAGAATACAAAACAATAAGCGTTGCTCACTTGGTACTGTACTGTTATTTCCGATAATAAATAATACATACTTTCGAGAGAAAGACAAGCATGTTTGTCTTCAAGTGTTAAAAAATAATTCATTAGACCTTGATGCCAAATCTGGAACGCAATGACACCGCGATGCACTTCCTAATGCTTGAATTTGCCTAGGTATCTTTTTTTGCCGCCTGTTCACGAAATCGTTTTGCAATAAATTTTGCGTATAAATATATCAAGCAAGTTGAATTAAATATAATTTCATATCACTTTTTTTACACTCGGAAAACAAGCGTCACGAATCTCAAAAAAGTACTTCAATCAAGGAGGAGGATCCGCGAAGCCTGTACTTTCCATAAATCCCATGGGGGTACAAGCATCAGACTCCCCTGTAGATATTTTATGAAGCTGTATGACACTAAATATTATATATATATATATATATATATACATATACATATATATGTCTGTGTGTGTTTCCTTTACTACATCATTTTATGACTTCACGACTCTTTACGGACATAAGACATAATTTTTCCTATTGTATACATAAAATCTATCGCACTATCCAGTGGCAATATTTTGCCGAAGTTTTGGACAAAACAGAGTGGTCTGTTGGATGTGTATAGTCTTTCAAAGAGCACTGTTTCTCCAAATACTTTTATTCGGGGTAGTTTACTACTTATTGTTTATGTTGTTCCGCGGTAATAAACAGAACACGGTTCTGCATGGCGAGAATCGTCATTAAAGAAAATGTTGCTTCATCATCGGGTTGCTTCATCATGTTGCTTCATCATGCTAATGTCGAGAGCTCTAAAGTTTCCGTGAGCCTGTTTTTAGTTAGACGAGCGTGTGCGAAACTGAATAAAAAAACGTGCGTGAATAAGTTTTGCGCCATAGAATTGGAACAATGCATGTTACACATAGAAAGGCTATTCTGACAAAAAAAAAGAAAGTAAGGTGCAAACGTTCTAGTAAATAAATGGACTATCCGGGCTCCAGCGACATTTTGTGGAAAACGCGAGAAAATTTATAAGGTGCCCTTTTTTTACTATGAAGCTGACATCCGATAAACTTCCATTTTTTTTATCTTACACTCGCAGCGAGGTTTTTCTGCTAAGGCAACATAAAACAAAAATGTGGCGGAAAAGCTCTCCTGCTAATGTGATAAGTGAGGATCAAAGGACTAGGTACTGCGAAACGGCGACAGAGCTGGAATTAAAACACAGGCTCACTTCCGAAAGTGAGCAGGCTAGCGCGTTCAGCGGAAGCGAAAGCCAGCCGAGCTGCAAACGTAAAGGCGGGGATTTCTAGGAAAACACCACCTCTTACTTGCACGGATGACTTTCTTGAAAGTCCTGCTGCTGATACGATCTGTATCAGACTCTGGATTTTTTTTTTCGTGCTCAGAAGAGAGTGCCTGGTTTCTGAGCTCGCCATCAAGAAGTTTTCTAAAGTAGATTAGCTTGCAACAGAGTTTTGCGAAGCTCTGCATCCTTTGCTGAACATCCTTTGGCTGAAGTCCAGGCCACATA